TGTTGATGCAGTGGAAAAGGTTACATCAGTATATATTAGCATATGAAGTTTAATAAAAAAAATATAATGTTTTCTTTAAAACCTGAGTTAAACACAAATTGAGACAAGAGGCCCATGGGCCACAACGCTCACCTGAGTCAATATGGCCCTGCTGTTCTTCGTCAGCAGATTTCTTCTCCTATATTTCTCCTATATATTCATATATAAAGCTTTGATCGCCTGTTCTAGGCATACCCTACCCCAAGGTGCCATGTTTTGAATGAAATTGAATATAAACCTTCTGAGGATGCTTCTATCTTCATATAACTAATCATGATTTTGCTGTTCTTTAAAATAGAATTTTAAATATGTCTAACACCCTACCCTGGGGGGGGGGGGGGGATATTTGAACAAACTTGATTGTACACTACCTGAGGATGCTTCCATATCAATATGACTGATCATGGCTTTGTTGTTCTTGAGATTGAAGAAGATTTTTAAAGATATTTCCTGTATATGTTCTATTGTTAAACTTTGATCCCCCATTATGGCCCCACCCTACCACTGGAGGATGCCTTAAACTAGCTTGAATCTACAATATTTGGGGAAGATTCCATATCAATATGACTAATTGTGGCTTTGTTGTTCTTGAGAAGAAGATTTTTAAAGATTTTCCCTATATATTTCTATGTAAAACTTTGATCCCCCATTGTGGCCCCACCCTACCCCCAGGGGTCATGATTTGAACAAACTTGAATCTACACTACTTGAGGATGATTCCATATCAATATGACTAATTGTGATTCTGTTGTTCTTGAGAAGAAGATTTTTTTTCTTTATATTCCTATACAAAACTTTGATCCCTCCTTGTGGCCCCACCCTACCCCCAGGGGTCATGATTTGAACAAACTTGAATCTACACTACCTGAGGATGATTCCATATCAATATGACTAATAGTGGCTCTGTTGTTCTTGAGAAGAAGATTTTTTAAGATTTTCCCTAAATATTCCTATGTAAAACTTTGATCCCCATTGTGGCCCCACCCTACCCCCGGGGGTCACGATTTGAACAAAATTGAACCTACACTACCTGAGGATGATTCCATATCAATATGACTAATTGTGACTCTGATGTTCTTGAGAAGAAGATTTTTTTTCTATATAATCCTATACAAAACTTTGATCCCCCATTGTGGCCCCACCCTTCTCCCGGGGGTCATGATTTGAACAAACTTGAATCTACACTACCTGAGGATGATTCCATATCAATATGACTAATTGTGGCTCTGTTGTTCTTGAGAAGAAGATTTTTTAAGATTTTCCCTAAATATTCCTATGTAAAACTTTGATCCCCATTGTGGCCCCACCCTACCCCCGGGGGTCACGATTTGAACAAAATTGAACCTACACTACCTGAGGATGATTCCATATCAATATGACTAATTGTGACTCTGATGTTCTTGAGAAGAAGATTTTTTTTCTATATAATCCTATACAAAACTTTGATCCCCCATTGTGGCCCCACCCTTCTCCCGGGGGTCATGATTTGAACAAACTTAAATCTACACTACCTGAGGATGATTCCATATCAATATGACTAATTGTGGCTTTGTTGTTCTTGAGAAGAAGATTATTAAAGATTTTCCCTATATATTCCTATGTATAACTTTGATCCCCCATTGTGGCCCCACCCTACCCCCGGGGGTCACGATTTGAACAAACTTGAATCTACACTATGTAATGAAGGTTTCACATAAGTATAAACTTTTCTGGCTCAATGGTTCTTGAGAAGAAGATTTTTAAAAGATGACACCAAATTTTCACCAATTCTTAATTATCTCCCCTTGGAAGAGGGCGTGGCCCTTCATTTGAACAAACTTGAATCCCCTTCACCCAAGGATGCTTTGTGGCAAGTTTGGTTGAAATTGGCCCTGTGGTTCTGGAGAAGAAGTCGAAAATGTGAAAAGTTTACAGACGGACGGACGGACGGACAGACGGACAGACAGACAGACGGACTACAGACAAAATGTGATCAGAAAAGCTCACTTGAGCTTTCAGCTCAGGTGAGCTAAAAAGTAAGGTCAAAGGAAAGGTCAAGGTCAAAAAATATTGATGCAGTTGAATACTTTATATCAGTATGTATCAGCATATGAAGTTTGACGCTAATTTAAGAAAAGTGAGCCAAGGTCAAAGGAATTGTCAAGGTCAGAAAATGTTGAAGCAGTTGAATAGCTCTCATCAGTACAGTCCCTCAGATGTTCTACTTTCTCACTTGAACGGTGAGCAAACGCAGAGCGAACGGTGAATGAATGCAGAGCGAACGGTGAATGAACGCTGAACAAACGCTGAACGATGTGTGAATGCTGAACGCAATTTGGTGAACGGTCGGTGAACAGTGAGCAAACGCAGAACGCAAACGGACAAAAAATTCGAGCGCAAAATGAACAGTGAATGATCTGTGAATGCAAGATAAACGATTTATTCGGAATGTCTCTGATCTTTGCCTTGCATTGTATGCATTCTTCTTTATTCTATTGTTAGGTGCAAAAACATCAATACATCTCGTAAATAAATTAATTTTGGAGTGCCAACATTAGCATACTATGTTAAAAATGGTTCTAAACATTTCCAGAACAAATAATTAAATAAATAAATAAATCATTAAATAAATAAATGTTTCCACATTATCATGAGAAAATGCACATTAAGTACGCCTATTAATTGTGTTTCTTACAATATTTTCAGCACATATATATTATGTTTAAATTAAGCTGTTTAGTCACAAAAGATTTATTGCTGTTACACATCGATATTAATACAAAATTCTGTAGTCAAAGTAGAGAAATTACAAGGATATGTGTGTTTCCATAAGGAGGTGATTCCATGTAAAATAAAGTGCCCCACCACAGCATGATACGCCCGTCAAATATTGTTCAATTGTCATAAACAGTTTAGAGTGCAAGAAAATCATGTCAACCTTGACACAAGGATTTCAATGATTTTTGCATTCCTCGTAATATTTGTTTATACATCTCCTGTGGTGTAGGCATTAATTATAACATATATAACATTATAGATCTTCAACTGGTTGTGTAACACAACTTGTGTTAAAGCTTGACAAATGCCCATCTGCAGCCCCCCCCCCCCCCCTTCCACCTTTCAGATTTGTGAGACATGATGCTCTGAATTTGTTGATATTTACAAAAAATTAATTAAAAATATCATATTAAACAATATCAATTTAGTCTTAACAACTTAATCTATATCAAATTATATCCAAAATAAAAGGCTGGCCATCAAATGACATAGGCTATAAACTGACAAGCAGTTCTTCTGTCTAATTCCCAAAGGATACAGATAAGAGCTGCTTTAGGTCTCACACAAGGAAATAATTTCACTATATGTTACTATGTAGCTTTAATTAAATTAATTAATTAATTAGACTCTCAGCAGATAATTCATGAAAGAGAAAATAAAGATTAATGCTGAGACAAAAATTTGAGATCAGAAAAAATACGCCTTATGCGGCTTTTAAGAAAGAAAATTGAGTGTAAACATACCTACCCTGAAATACACGTGGGTTTCACATGTTGACAAACAGCCTACACACCATCCAGGAAGTTGCATCATGCGCATCTAAAAAAAGAGTTCCCTGTAATTCAGTGGCACAATTCTGCTAAAAATATGATATTCCTAGTACATGAGTCCAAAATTAAAACTGTAGACCTAAAAAAAGTTGCCGAAAATGAAAAAAAGAAAAAGAAATTGTCTCTATATATATAGAACTACAATTGACTAAGTTCATTTTGATTGGCTATTTCCTTGCGTAAGACCTTTAAGACAACTAAAAGTTAATGAAATTAAATGAAATTTGCATAAAATGTCTCTTAGTTATTTATCTTTCATATACCAGTGCATCAAAATTTATCTTTGTCCTTAAGGGATGAAAAATAGGAGATAACTCTTCCTAACAGATTATTGAATTTTAGGCTAAATTTCTATACAAATTCATCTACAGTATATTAATTTCAAAACTTAAAAAAAATCTTATGAGTTAATTATTGAGAAAAAAATTTGGAATGAAATGCAAGCTGAAATGTTGGGGTTTTTGGCTATCTGCTTTAAAGTTTTTTCATCTCTAATTAATAAGCTCTAATTACCTAAACAACAGGAAGTTTACTGATTTATAAGGAATTAATTAGCAAAAAATTGAAAATCTTAATTCTAAAACAAAGTCAGAGACTGGAAAAAATGGTGTCAAAAGAGACTTCAATAATGTACCTTGGAGCTTTGATAACAGTGATCACTGATTAATGGCTGGCAATTAAGATAAGGGGTTCTTTAGCAGTGGGGGGTGATGAGGCTTTTCCATCAGTCATCAAAGAATGGAGTTTCTCTTAGAAGACCAGGCAGCTCTAAAATAAATAAACAACACAAAAGTTTACAATACTTAAAAATGTGCACCACATACAATAGCATATATTACTAGAAAAAGTCTACAAGTGTACAGTTAAATAATAATCATGCCAAAAAAGGGACCAAAATGGTTGCATCAACATCAATACAAAAAAGGAAGTGTTCCTCACAACAAAGGCCAGAAGAATACAGGGACCACCAGCCCAGTCCAATTTCTAGTTCCCATAAGAAGACTAAGTAAAGAAGAGTTTCGGGACATTGTACAGCTACAGGAAAATGGAAAGTTCGCAGTTACAGATGCCAAGAGCCGAAGCAGTGAGATGAAGATTTTGCGACCCGGGCCAAGTGAAGTCCAGCCTGTAGACTCCTACATGGAAGCTGTGTCAGATGACCCGAATTCAAAATTATACAAAGTACTTCACCAAGAAAAGACTGCTAAATTGTGGAACCATGCATTTAAAGAACACTCACATAAGTTTCCAGACTGTGACGGTTCACTGGACTGGAATCAGCATGGGGAGGAAAAACGAGGCCTGGCATGGATCCTTTCCATCCGATGTAAGAAGTGCCACTATACCAGTCACCGAGAAAAGCTTTACGAAGAGATGAGGAGATCTGGAAGGGGACAAAGAGCTGCACAGCTAAATGTGGCCATGGCTGTCGGTCACCTGGGTACCAGTCTTACAACAGAGGGTATGCGTGGTATGCTTCTTGGTGCAAATATTGAACCAGCATCAGCCGCCAACATGCAACAGACCTGCAACAAAGTGGGGAAAATTATCACCAAAGTAAATAAAAACAGCATGAAGAAAATAAGGCAGAACATTCAAGAACTTAATGAAAAATGTGGACTTCCTGATACCCCTATCAGAGCGGAAGGAGATGCTCGGTATAATAATGCCACCTTTAGTGCCATTGGAAAAACCCCATTCCAAGCTGCCACCCAAGTGACTTATACCGTAAGTGAAAATGTAACTCAAAGGAAAAATGTTGTGGCAGTGTTCTGTGGGAACAAACTATGCAAGAAAGGCACACACCTACGAAGCAAAGGAAAGGAAGTTACCTGCCCAGGACACGAAGACTGCACTGCAACCATTCCTCCGGAGACCACCATTGGAGATGAGAAGAGATGGGCTGCAAACTGTATCGGGGAGTTACAAAGTGATGACCGTCCACTTGTCATTTCCCATTTCACCAGTGATGGAGACAGTGCCGCTGCATCTGGCGCATCTGTAAAACAAGGACATGTGATTGAAAACCTTAAAGACTTGCGTCACTTCTTTGACTCTCAAAGAAAACAGACAGCGAAGGCTCCATTCAGCAGTCACATGTTTCCGGGAAGAGCCAAAGCCATAAGAGAATCCATGCAGAGAAGATTTGCCTTAGACTTGAAGCTTCGATGCAGGACAGAGTACGAGAATTGCTACAAACACTACTCCGGAGACTTACCTTTGATGAAGCGGGCTATGTCAACTGCTGTTGGTTCCATCATAAGCTGCTACCAAGGACAGTGCGGAAAGTCCTGTCAACTTCATTCCTTTTCCTGTCATGGACTGAAAAGCAATAAGTGGAAATCTTCAGTGGTGCCTAGTGACTTTGAATTAAACATGACAGAAGATGACAAATGTTTGTTAAAAGACTGTATAAATTTGACTTTAGGACCAAGTAATCTTGACAGAATTAAATTTCATACTTGTACACAAAAATCTGAATCTGTGAATAGGGCATATTTAAAATCAAATCCAAAATGTATTACAAGTAGTAGAAATTTTGAAAGTAGAATACATAAAGTTGTGCACTCACTGAATAGGGGTCATGGAAACTCAACATTGGAACTTTGTGAATCTGTAGGGGCACCTGTTGTAAAAGGAAGTAGAGTTGTCCATCATCTAAAACAACAACAAAATAGGCAAAATTACTTTAAAATGAAACAAAAACTGTTAAAATATAAATCTCAAAGAAAATACTATAGATCTAAAAGATATCAGCTGTATGATAAAAAATCTAAAGACACTTACTGTAAATCACTAACAGATCCAAAATTAAAAAGGAGGTTGTAAGATTGTAAAACAAGAGGCCCATGGGCCACAACGCTCACCTGAGTCAATATGGCCCTGCTGTTCTTCGTCAGCAGATTTCTTCTCCTATATTTCTCCTATATATTCATATATAAAGCTTTAATCGCCTGTTCTAGGCATACCCTACCCCAAGGTGCCATGTTCTGAATGAAATTGAATATAAACCTTCTGAGGATGCTTCTATCTTCATATAACTAATCATGATTTTGCTATTCTTTAAAACAGAATTTTAGATATGTCTAACACCCTACCCTGCTTGGGGGGGGGGGGGGGGGGGGGGTTCATGATTGCATGATTTGAACAAACTTGAATGTACACTACCTGAGGATGCTTCCATATCAATATGACTGATCATGGCTTTGTTATTCTTGAGAATGAAGAAGATTTTTAAAGATATTTCCTGTATATGATCTTTTGTTAAACTTTGATCCCCCATTATGGCCCCACCCTACTGCTGGAGGATGCCTTGAACAAGCTTGAATCTACAATATTTGGGGATGATTCCATATCAATATGACTAATTGTGGCTTTGTTGTTCTTGAGAAGAAGATTTTTAAAGAATTTCCCTATATATTCCTATGTAAAAATTTGATCCCCCCATTGTAGCCCCACCCTACCTCCAGGGGTCATGATTTGAACAAACTTGAATCTACACAACCTGAGAATGAGTCCATATCAATATGACTAATTGTGACTCTGTGGTTCTTGAGAAGAAGATTTTTTTTCTATATATTCCTATATAAAACTCTGATCCCTCATTGTGGCCCCACCCTACCCCCAGGGGTCATGATTTTAACAAATTTGAATCTACACTACCTGAGGATGATTCCATATCAATATGACTAATTGTGGCTTTGTTGTTCTTGAGAAGAAGATTTTTAAAGAATTTTCCTATATATTCCTATGTAAAAGTTTGATCCCCCATTGTAGCCCCATCCTACCCCCGGGGGTCATGATTTGAACAAGCTTGAATCTACACTACCTGAGGATGATTCCATATCAATATGACTAATTGTGGCTTTGTTGT